TTTGGGTGGAAGTGAAACGTAAGAAGAAGGAGAACGATTGTACAATAATGGTCGACAAAACGTATAGACGCAAAAGAAAAGCCGAGCAGTTGTCCGGCCAACCAGCAACTGTTCCAGAACCAATCATGATCTCGTCAAAGCTTCACACAAGTTCCTCAAGATCCAGTGGCCTTCGATCCTCGGGGTGATAAAATGACGGATAAATCAAAATTTGGCTTTGAAAACTCCGCAATTGCGACATTGCGGCTGGTGGTAATCTTGAAGTTGGGACGGCTGACAACCAAGAATAGTCGCCGTGCAGCGCACCGTAGTCGGTAGTTCCTGATACTTCCCCAAACCCACCCGCAGTCAGTACTGGCAGCACCAAGAAACGTTGGTGCCCAGCGATAGGCATGAATGAAGAGGAAGATATATGAACTACTGATGAACATTCGTACATACGAGTATGTAGCTTTGAATACATAGTCTATGTACACACAAAAAGATCGGGACTGCGGCCTGGAAGGTCCAAGCGACACACGACAACGATGTACGACAGAAAACAACATATTCGCCTGATTGAGAGCGTAGCATCTGATTGAGAGCGAGATTGCGCGATACGCTGTAGCCGGACTACTACTGAGAGGTGGAGCTTGCTGTGTAGCTTGAATTGAAGGGCTAGCCCGTAGCTTCAAGCCGCTACCCTGGTCATCCTGTGGGAGTCTCTCGTTGTGGAGCTACAGCGGGGAGCAGAAGCTACAGCAGAGCCCACCGCCCGACGCGATACCGCCCTGAAACAGTTTGAGCAGAAATAGCCAATCTGGGCAAATCTAGCAACTTGTCTAGCTCCTCGCTGCANCCCAGTGATATGGATGGGCAAGTTAGGAAGCACATGTGTATGTCGAGCTACGCATGAGCACTCACGTACTTATATAGCCATGGTAGCGCACACGCGGAAAGATATCGTGATGTTCTGGACGATCCAATGTAACGCCCGACAACACAGTGTAAGACATTACCCAAATATACTTGTAACACACTGCCGCAGCGTTCAGCAACGTTCGTCGGCAAGAGGTGCTTCGCTCTGACTCGAGCGGAGGGATAATTATGTTACGGCAGTGCAGTGCGTATTGACGCGCTAACCTTTACGTCTTGGTTTCCTTGTACTGTATTAGTGCGAGATACTAGACATTCCCAATGAGTCTTGTTGCGCGGCGACCACCATATAGTGGCACCGATAGGGACATCTGTTGGTCGGAAGCATCACGTGACAGGTGCACAACACGCGCACGGTTGGACGCAGCTCATTGAATTGTGATCCGTCGTCGAAGGGGGCATCTCATCCAGGCATAGTCGTCGCGGTAGGCAAAAAATATTAGTCGATATCTGCTCCATACTGCTGTACCCAGAGAACAATTCGAGCTACCATATTCTTCCCCCTGATGGACACGGACGAGCGGAAACAACCAACTTATTTTTCGTCGCGAAGGCAACACACTAGCATTTGGCATGCGCGACATAGAGGTTCTGCTGTCGCGACAATCCCACGGGGTGACAGCCGAATGTGCGTTTGCTGCTCCCCAGCGATTCTTGCGACTGCTGAACGGGAGATGGGCGTGTGTGGAGTGAAGCAACAGGAAAGCGAGCACCTGGTTGCTGAACGTCAGATTTTTTTCTTCAACTGAACGTCTGGCTGGCTGCTCCATTGCACGGCCACATCATCGCAGATGCTGCTGCTGGGATACAGCGAAGATAGCTTGTACCCGGGTGCACCCACCAAGAACAAGTCCGTTCGAGATCGCGGTAGCAGGTATTCGGAAGTTGGTGTGCAGTAGCAAAAACGCAAACGTCGAGCCGAAAGGGCCTAAAGGCCAATAAACAGAATGGTTGAGGGAATGCCATCGCTGTGCCGATCTCGTATGCTTGACCTACGAGGCTAGGCATCCCACGACAGGGTCAGGGACCACTAGATCCCGGACTCTTTTGTTGGGGCACCGTGGCGACAAGCAATGTCAAGCAGAGTCTCCTATTTTTCCCGGGAGCGGCATTTGTGATGACGGGCAACGTTTGAAATCCTTTTCAACGGATTTTGTTTTCCCACATCGGACACCGATCGCGTAGCAGCAGCAGCAGCAGCAACAACAACAACAAACAGGAAGTCTCAGCCTCCAAGGGCCGAGAAAACTGAATGATTTGCTGGCGCCGCGCTCGTCACGTGTGTCTGTGGGATTCGTTCGCCACTGCTTGCATTTGTCACCTAGGCATACATGTGCGGTGTGTGATTCTCTCTTTCGCTGATGTCCTTAGCGCGGTACCCAAGGACCGATTCTCGAGATGTGCATAACTCGATCATTTTTCCATCTGGAAGATCCGGGACACATGGAGTAAAATGAATGTATTTTTTGGACCATGAGCACCCAAACCTGTTGTTGTTGTTGTCTTCACATGAAAAAAACGTTCCGTTCCCTCTGCCCAGCACCATTTTCTGACCGTACTGCATTAGACACTTGACGGGGTCGATTCTCGTGGTCACAGGCTAACTAACCCAAACAAAGGTATACAAGAATAAAATGGACCCGAAGGGTTCGCAAGCCCATAGAAGTCAACGACAGCTAGTCAAGATCACTCCGCTCGCCTCTACGCGCTTTGCGAGGTAGCCCAAGATTGGAAAAAGAAAGAAAAAGAGAAATAAGGAAAAAGATGGAGATAGGGGAAAGAGAAGGAGAAAGACACAGACAGAGAGAGACACACGCCGTAGCGACAGACAACCAACAAACACAGAACAACACAAGACAGCACAAAAAAAAACACAACACGAAGCGGGCCACCCGAGCCATCAAATGCATGTCATCGCTCGCGGGGTGTTGGTGCAATGGTGCAGTGCCGGGGAGGGGGGGATAAGTCAAGCAAGGGGCTCAATTCGGCACAGTGTTTCCCGTCGCTCGGTCCTCATCTTCGCGTTTCCTGTCTTTCCTCGCCGTTTCGTCCGCCTGCTGTACCCCTGCCCCCGTGGTTGGTGCCGTGTCCGTGTTACTGACGGGCTCCTTGCTTCGTTTGAGCCCTCGTTGTCGGCTAGCCTCCTCTTCCTTCTTGTGCCAGGAGGTCATGAACCTCTTAGCTCCCTGCAGTACCCCTGCATGCCACTTTACCCCCCGGTCCACCTTCGCTTTCGTCGAACTTGTTTCCGGGATTCCGATGAGGCATGGCTCGGCGTCCGTAGATCCGTGTTCTGCTTTGAACATCTTGAGATAATTCTTCAGTCACGTCAGCCCGTTTTGCTCCGGTTTCCCCCTGCCTGGGCCCTCCCCCCCAACCAGCTCGCCAGCCATCTCCCGTTTCGAGGGTCGTCCGGGTGGCTGCCTTGCCAGCGCTCCCGCGAACAGCAGGCGCCGTTACCGAATAGTGGTTTCCACGCTTTGGCACTCTACCCTCTTCAGGGTCTGGGCGGTGAAAACTGCCGGTAGGCGCCCTTCTTTCGTTGGTAACCGATAAATTGCAGGAGCAGTCGGTGTTGTATCGTCCGCTACGTCCGGCATTGGTCTTGACGTGAGTAGAAACGAGTTTTTCAGCACGATCGGAACGTGGGGAGCCACAAGCTTGGCCAGCTAAGAAACTCACCTTCTACGTTATTTAGCGTCTTTTGCTGTCGCTTGCACGAATTTGGGCTTGAAATATGGTTGCTACTCTTATGAGGAATTAGGGGACGCGCAGGTGCCAGGATATTTCGAATCTGAGTTGTTTCAGGTACAGTAGAGGTTCCTGTTTAGTGCCAATTTAACAGTGCCGGTTGCCGGTATAGTGCCGGTCAAATCTCGGCGCACATCACCCGCCCTGAATAGTGCCAAACCGGCACTTCAGGGCTGTGTAGGTTCGGGCCCACTGAACCCCACTGAAGTGCCGGTTCAAGCACGCACGCACACACAACAAACAAGAGACACACAAGACAGAAGACAGACACATAGGAGAGGGTACACGTGCTGCTGCAGACCCGAACAGCACTACGCAGAGGCGCACCATGCCATGTGCGGAAGGTAAGATGTGCCGCATACCGGACAGAACGCACAACCCCCTAATGGCCACATCTGCCGGGGACGATGCGGCGGGCGGCTCCATGGCGAATGTGGAAGCATGTTTGACGACAGCGAGCTGAACCGCATCAACAATTCGTGCGTAGCCAACAGTGGCAGGCGCAAAGCGAGAGCAGCACAGGGTGCTGGGAAGGGGCAATCTAAACGCCCGAGGCACGAGGGGGGAATAAGAATGAAGGTTGTAAGCGGCTGGACGTACAACAGAAGGTCGAGATCCTCAAGCTGGTGGATGCGAAGATCTCTCAAGGAGAGATAGCAGACCGCTTCGGGTGCTCGGAACGGTTGATCCACATTGAAGGCCGAGCGGGAAAAGGTGGAGAACGAGGCTGCTGCAGCAGGCAGCGGTAGCAAGAAAAAACATCCGCAAAGATTATCCCGAGGTACGCTAAACTAGTTTCAATCTGCTGTTGTTGCTGCACTTGTTTGTTTGTTTTTCAGAATACTTTTTTCGAGACTTATATTTTTTTAGGTCTTTTCCTGTTTTCGAGGTCAATTTTTTTGTGATCTTTTCAAGCTCTTCTGTATTTCACCTTTGCATGGGACCATTTTTTCTGTTTTTTTGTGCTCGTGCGACACAGCTGTCAACAAAAATTCATCCGCACGCACGACTGTGCAAGCCAGTATACATACATAACATGCAGCGTGCACGCTTGTCGCTTTTTGCTGCGTATTCCACAAAGTATTTACCTTCGGAGTGTACTTGAAATAAACAGATCGTAGCAAAACTCGAAAAAGCAAAGCAATTAGCAGCTTGACACTATCAACTACGAGGTCTAGCCTGAATGCGCTGCACAATGTTGGATGCACGTCAACATAATATTCGAAGCTAATCATTGGATTATCTCTACCCTCTTCAAACTTGTGATACGCATTGTTTGACGGCAGGCGGATGCCAATGCTCTTGATCAACTCGAGAAGGCCCGGAAAGCCAAGATGTCTGTCACACGCGACGTCATTCGAAGCTTCGGCCGCTCCGCCAAGCCAACCTTGCTAGCTGAGCCCACAACCCCTGCAGCAGTCAGGGTGAGGCGCCAGGATTTCAAGGCCGGCGACAGGTGGGCCTGGAACTTCGTGAAGCGCAACAACAATCAGAGCACGAGACTTCATGGCGAGGCTAGCAGCGTCAGCCGCAAGGCCATCGAGGTGGGCATGCAGGAAATCAGGGCCGTCTACGCGAAGTACCCAGCTAGGCTCATCTTCAACGTCGACGAGACAGGCATCCAGTGGAAGCTTATGCCCATGCGAGCGTACCTTTCCACCTCGGAGAATCGGAAGACGGCGCGGGGCTCAACGAGCATGTACTTCAAGGATTGCTTGTCTGCCATCATGTGCTGCAATGCAGATAGTACTGCAAAGGTTGACATGGCCCTCGTCTGGAAGGCAAACGAACCCCGTTGCCTGACGGGCGTGACTTGCCCTTTCACGTACTTCTCGCAAGCTAACGCGTGGTCTGACACCGCTACGTTCCTCAAGTAGTGGCGTAAGGTCTTCCTCCCGTTCGTTTGGTGCTTCACCAACGAACCTGTGCGGCTGCTGTTTGACGGCTGCTCGTCTCACGCTGATCTAGCGGATGAACGCGGGCAAGCTACCGTCAAGTTTAACCCTCCAAACTGCACCAGCGTACACCAGCCCATGAACCAGGGGATCATCGCCAAGACCAACGTCATCTTCAGGAAAGACCTGCTCGATGTGAAGACATACACCATGTTGGTGGCTGAGACCCTTCGTGCCGAGGCCAAAGCCCGTAAGATGAAGCGTGGGACAGCGGGGCTGGCACAAAGGCACCAACCTCACGTGCGTGACGCCGCCGAATTTCTCCAGAATGCCTGGGCCAGCGCCACCGCCCGGGACATCGCCAAGTCAGGTTTGAACGTCTGCTGTCGTTGTGTTCATTTTGAAATCATGCAGTGTGCACAATCTTGGTGGTATGTAACGAGTTTGCACGGATAGATGTTTACGTTTTCGACTAGGTATTCCAGCACCCCCCGTTGTTGCTTCGCTAAAAAAGGATGCTTTCTCGCTTGCCGATGATTTGTTGCCAAATGCTGGTCTCTGTTGGAGCATTTGCAGTGCTCGCCCGACTCTTTTTTGCTGTGTGTGTTATAAGCAGCATTGAGAAGGCGTGATTCCGAAGCTGCAACCGTCAGGTGAAGACAGCCCGCGTGTCCGTGTGTGGATGATATATCACTCTGTGTTTCTCTACCCAAGCATGTTGTCACACAAGCCAACTACAGGGTACTGCAGCTGAGAGACCTCGCTGGTACGTCTGTCAGATTGCGAGCCCCGTGCGGTAAGGGGACTTCGATGAGTCAAATGGCGTCCGCAACGCAACCTTCTAACTATCTGCAACGAGGATATGTGCCGTTCAGTGGGAATGCGGCCGAATTGCCGGGCTGGGTGACCCTGACGAAATCCTTACTGTCTGCGGCTGGCTTGCATAAGATTCTGTCTGAAGCCGAGACGGCTCCCGGTTCTCTGGAGGAGGGAGCGACCTCTGCAGCTACTTCCGCGCACGAGAGAGCCGTCCTCGAATTCCAGGAGAAGAACGGCAAGTTGAATACGCGGTTGCTGCTGGCTACGTCGGACGGCCCGGATGGATATTCCAGCCCAGCTTCTCAGGCAGTACAGCAGTACGGACCTGTCGGGGAAGAGGAGTATGGTGACGGACGAGCTGCGTTCGTAGCTGTAAACAAGAAATACCGTGTCGAAGATGTCCTTCGCATGCGACAACTTCATGACGAGTTTGCCTCCGTAGCGGTCACAGCAGCCGACAAGTTCGATCCGGCACGTGCGGGCCAACAGTTGCGCCGCATCTGTCACGAGCTCGGTAAGCTAGGCGATAACGTCGTGGAGGCAAGACAGGCAAACGCTCTTTTACGAGCCCTCCCTGACAAGCAGTATGGTTCACTCAAGACTGCGCTGCTATGTGGGAAGCCAAATCTCGAAGCGGAGGATGCCAAAGAAAAGGCGCACACCACACAGGACTCCACCACGCAGGCATGGTTCACGCGGGTGGAGGTGGCCTTCGATGAGCTGGAAGAATTCGCCATCGCTTTCGGTGATGACGCCCAGGAGTTGAAGGCGCCTGCTGCGGCGCTGCTAGAGGAGCGCGCTGTTGACGAGGACCCGGTTCAGGATACGCCCGTGGCACGACCGGATCGCCTCTTTATCTACGACCCGCAGGCACTGCAGGTGCCTTGCCTGATGCAGCGCTGCCAGAGGATCGCGCCGCTGGAATCGAGCAGGTGCACAATGCACCTGTGACGGCGCTGCCGGATGGCCTCGTCGTCTGCGACCCGCAGGCACTGCAGGTGCCTGCTGCGGCGCTGCCCGAGGAGCGCGCTGCTGATGAGGACCCGGTTCAGTATACGCTCGTGGCACTGCCGGATGGTTCCTTCATCTGTGACCCGCAGGCACTGCAGGTGCCTACTGCGGTACCACCAGCGGAGGGTGTGGTTGGAGATGTACCAGCGGAACGCCCGGCTGGATCTGCGGAGCTGCCAGCGGAGGGTGCGGCTGGNTATACGCTCGTGGCACTGCCGGATGGTTCCTTCATCTGTGACCCGCAGGCACTGCAGGTGCCTACTGCGGTACCACCAGCGGAGGGTGTGGTTGGAGATGTACCAGCGGAACGCCCGGCTGGATCTGCGGAGCTGCCAGCGGAGGGTGCGGCTGGAGATGGACCAGCGGAGTGCCCGGCTGGAGATCAGCAGGCCGAGGATGCTACCAAGTTGGTAAGGTACATCGGCGTGTTTCAGGTGAAAAAGGGGGGGTCGGAGGCTGTTGGGGATACGAGTTACAAAGATTCAGTGGCGTCGAGCCACATGGTGGACGCTCAATCTTGCATGTCCAAACACGTTTTGAATCCAGTGGACTGCGCCGTTCGTATCATAGGGTCGTGTGGCACGTCTAGCGCTACCAAGAAAGTTACCCTGAAGTTCGGGATTCGCAATGCTCACGACGAAGTGGTAAAAGTGGTGTTGGACGTTCTGCTGGTTCGAGGCCTACGATCGAACATCTTGTCGGTCGGAGCGTTGGCTGAAAAGAGGGTGAAGTGTGATCTCATGTCTACCCCTCCGGCGCTCCGCCGCGGCGACCAGGCTTTTCGCATTTCAACCGCTGTGCCTCGAATGTACGTGATGAACGTCATCGTCGACGACCTCAACCTGGACGATGTAAACGTGTATCACACCAAGGTTGACGCTCACCTGTGGCATTGGAGGATGGGCCACTGCAATCCTCGTGTGCTGCAGCAGCTGGCTGACAAGGGTTCCACCGGTATAAGCTTCCATCGTAAAATCGAATCAAGTGACTGCAGTGTATGTGGAGTTGGGGACAGCAACAAAAGAAGCCACTCGCTGTCCGATCTCCCCCGCTCTGAGACTCGGCTTGAGATTGTAATCTGATAAATCGTGCGGGGTTTGCCAGAGTGCCGTGATGTTTACTGACGATGCTTCGCGTGAGGTTCGGCTTCCCCATCAAGACGAAAGACGAAACGGTGGAGGTCCTCCAATTGCTTATCCGGGACGCTGCCTATCCGCTTGGGCAAAGCATCGGTTCGGTGCACTGCGATGGCGGAGCAGAGTTCAAGGGCAGGTTCTTGGAGCTGTTCAAGTCGGTTGGAATTCCGGCCAAGAACAGCCCCCCCTACGTTCCGCAAGGGAATGCCATCGCGGAGCGTGGGTTTGGTTCTATCATCGGCACTATGCGCAAGATGCTCCTGGGGGCGCCGCACCTTCCCGGCGAGCTGTGGGCTGAGGCTTGTCGGACCGCCATTTATCTCAAGAATCACACACCGACTGACGTCTTGGGCGATAAGGCCCCACTCGAGGTATGGGAGAGTAAGCCGCTCGGGAAAATGTGGCACATCCACGAATGGGGTTCGTTCGCGTTAAAGCACGAGGAGACGCGCTTTCGGTCGAGCAAGCTGGCGGCCAGGGCCACGAAAATGTACCTGGTCGGCTATAATCCGGAGAGTAGGTCGTACAGGCTGTGGGACCCATCGGAGCCTTTAAAATCACCAACTCTGCCAAGGTATCATTCCGTGAGAAAGAAATGCGTGACGTGGTCAAACCCAAGGTAGGGCACGACCCGTTTCCTGTGCCCGATGTGTCTGTTTATCAGCCTGGCGCGGTAGAATCTAGCGAAAGCGAAGACGAAGACACAACCCCCACAGGGCCGCCGCCGGTGGCTCCGGGACCTCGTCGGAGCGACAAGACCTCCGCGGCGCCGCAGCGGCTGAGCCTGTTTACAACGGAGGAGGATGCGTACGAGAGAATTGACCCCGCCATCTACGATGAAGCGGTGGCGTGGTAGACTCGACGGCTACGAAGAAAAGGGTGACGGCTGTCTCGTCGGCTGAGGCGGAGTATGTTGCAGTGTCCAAGGCCTGCAAGATGATCCCCTACTGGCGCCACCTACTCAAGACTATCAACCGGGAGCAGAAGGAAGCGACGATATTGTATGAAGATAGTTACTGGTGCCATGTCAACTAGCAAGTCCAACAAGTCGACTGAACGTAACAAACACATCGATGTCAAGTACCACCACGTTCGTTCCCTCATCGTTGACAAGGTAGTTGACGTGAAGACGATCGGAAGTGACTGCCAAGAGGCAGACATGCTAACGAAATGCTTGGGCACATGGAGTTTCTCAGGAACTGCCTCTCGCTTCTAGGAGAGTAGTCACCTCCCCTCTCCGAAATCAGACTTCAGTCTTGAGGGTTGGACGATGAATCAATACGGAATACCTGTGTTGAAAGGAATGTCGCAACATGAATTACGGCAGTTATTGTTTGCTTTGTTTTGAGTTGAGAGATGCAAGCAAGTACTCGTGAATGGTAAATTTTTGGACAGGACATTGACGTTGTTATTTTTCAAGAGGACATTGGTAAAAGACTCGTATCTCACATATCAGAATGACGTAGCTCTTGAAAGAACATGTTGAGCATTTGCAGTGCAAGACCGAGTCTATTCTGCTGTGTGTGTTTTTTGCAGCATTGGGAAGGCGTGTTTCCGAGTCTGTAACCGTCAGGTGAAGACAGCTCGCGTGTCTGTGTGTGGATAATAAATCACTCTGTGTTTCTCTACCCAAGCCTGTTGTCACACAAATCAACCACAGGGTACTGCAGCTGAGAGACCTCGCTGGTACGTCTGTCAGTCTCGTCTTACATCAATTGTTCAACTCGCAATCGGACTGCTGTTCCATGTTCTGCGCTACCTGGAACCAGGTGCTTCGTCAAAGCCGACACACTTCCGCCGGAGATGGCAGCTGGACTAACCTAGCAACACGGTAAGGGTAAGGCCCGAGACCGGATCGCCGAGCCTGAGATGAAGGCTCTCACGAGGAGTCTCAAGACATTGAGCAAGAGCGTGCTAAAGGTGCAGCAGCAGGGATCCAGCATTCAAGACGAGGAGCTGTGTGAGCTGGTGGCGGGATTTAACATTGAACCCGGAAAGGCTGCCGTAGGGGACGCGGTGAACACGCTTCAGGCTTGGGCTACTATTGAGGACGACGATGAAGTGGTGAAAGTTTTTCGGCAGGACGCGGTGGACGACATGACGGCACAGGTAGCTGGGTCGCACGTGTCTCCCGGGTCAGAAGAAGAGGACGAAGAGGGGGACGATGAAGAGGAGGGGGGTAGCGACGATGAAAACGCGGGCCGCGGGCGGCGTGCCCCACCGGGTTACCCTGAACTGTCGTCTCACTTCGGGTACCTAGAGGCTGCAGCGGAGGGGAGCGGCAACAGAGACGCATTGTGCCACCTGTCGAAAGCGAGGATGGCGATGATCGCAGCGCATAACCGCAAAGCCAGCTCGCCAGGCAAACATGCGGGAATTCATCGGGACGTAGTGAGGGCGGGGGTTACAGCTACAGCGGCTGTTTGATTTTCTGCATGTCCCGTTATTGCGGTCGTGTTTTTTTTGTTCTTGTTCTGGACACATCGAAGGAGGGTGAGGAAGGGACAGATTTAGCTTCCTCCTTCACCAATAGGTTGTGCCAGCAGGAGCTTCGCAAGAGTAATACCGCCAAAAATCCAAGGGCTTCATGATCAGTGGTTTGCTTTTGCTGTCGAGGATTGATGTTGAGGTTGCGCGACATGGATTGATCTGTTTAAGGCCAGTGCCACGGCATTCTTGCCAACAATATATTGGACATCTATGAGGTGCATCCTTTGCGATATTCATGTGAACGGTTTGAGTCGGTTTCAGTCAGGTTGTGCAAGTGTGTGTCCCGTTCAGTTACAGCAACAAGGTGCAGCATGTGTGTCCCGTCCGGTTAACTTACGAAGCAAAATATGTGTGTTCGACAGGGCAGGAACCACCCCTATCGTGGCACAGCAGTCTGCCCGCGACGCCCATGCCATGATCTCACCATGTACGTTTCATGTGGTACCCTGTTGGCCCGTAAAGCAAAGCGCTGCACTCTGTAATCACACAGTTCGTCAATAGTGCCGGTCTGGCACTATTGAAGGATGTTCAGACCCTGAATAGTGCCCCTTTGGCACTATTCAGGCACTCTGAAGCATAGCGCCGGTGCCCGGTAAAATGCCGGTGAAAATTGTGCGCACACCCCGGCACTAACAGGGACCTTTACTGTATTAAACGATCAATTGTCGGGGTAGCGGGGGATTTACTCATGATGTGAAATCAGCCCTATAAACGTTCACAGCAAAAGCGGAGAATCGGTGTGCATTTTCCTGGGAGCATCATCTTGCATCAAACGCTATGGCCTCTTCAACAATCCGATACAACACAGAAGATTGTAAAGGAAATGTGCACACAAATCTAACATAATGACATGTGGTACTTGTAGGCGTTGGTAGAACAAACACCTTTGACTACGGGTGCTTGTAAGTCCTGCCATACACTACAATATTCCCATCGTTACATCCGTTGGAAGCCTCGCAGCCTGCTAAAGGCCAGGTCATGGGTTCGAGTCCCGACAGAGTGAATTTTTTTCTCGCTGATTAAATCCTGGTCTCCGTTGGAAGCTACGCGCTGCAAAGCTCGTTGTTTGTATACTTGATCGACTTCACAAGTCGCGAGGAAAGGGATTGCTGTACCCTTCTCGCGATAAAATATCTCAGGCAGGAACCGCAGGAGGGGGTCCAACCTCCCCCTCCTTTGTGAACCCGGTTGGGTCGTTTTGCTGGTAGAAGTGAAGGATAAGGGCCAGAGGGGCAGACGACAAAGTCCGATGATGCGAGACAAAAAAAGACAACACAAAACGTTGGAAGCGACGCGCTGCAAAGCTCGTTGTTAGTTAACTTGATAGACACCATAAGTCGCGAGGGAAGGGATTGCCGAATCCTTCTCGCGATAACAAAATCTCAGGCAGGAACCGCAGGAGGGGTTCCCACCCCCCCCGCCTATGTGACCCCGGTTGGGTCGTCTAGCTGGTAGAAGTGAAGGATAGGGGCCAGAGGGGCAGACGACGGAGTCCAATGATGGGAAAAAAAAAATATATATATATATATGTATATCCTGCTTAGGGACAGGTCATGGGTTCGAGCCCCGACAGAGTGAGTTTTTTCTCGCTGAATCCTGGCCTCCGTTGGAAGCCACGCGCTGAAAAGCTCGTTATTCGTAGACTTGATCGACTTCCTAAGTCGCGAAGGAAGGGATTGCTGTATTAAAGTAGTACCCTTCTCGCAAAGAAATATCTCAGGCAGGAACCGCAGGAGGGGGTCCAATCCCCTCCTCTTTTGTGACCCCGGTTGGGTTGTCTAGCTGATAGAAGTGGGGGATAGGGGCCAGAGGGGCAGAAGACAGAGTCTTTCGATGGGAGACAAATATATACATATATTTTGGGTAGGTGCGCATCTAACACGGACGGCAGGGTTGTTTACCGTGTGCAGTACTTCGTCCGTGGTGGTTTTAGTCCGTCTGGTCATGTTCGTGTGGGAGAACAAATATATGTAGATATATAATTGAAATAGATGTGGATGACAGGTGTAGAAGTGCTGTAACCATTGTTGTTGCACATGCAAAAGTAGGACCAAGATACGATCCGAACGGAGGATCTCAATGATGGTTGATCAGCGAGAGACCCGACTGTGGATGCGTCCCTCTTGGCGCCACCTGTGGAGCTTGGGAATCCGACACCCTCGGGCTTGGTCTCCCTCGCCCCTTCGGCGGCACTCTCTTGTCTCTCTTTTCTGAGACCCTCTCCTCTCTAAATCTCGACGAAGAGAACTGCCAGCCCTTAGTAGTGGGAAAAGACTACTGCGACGTGGGCCTCCCCCCCTAACGAGGGAAGCCTGTGTCCTCATTGGCGTCGACGAAGAGATAGATACTCTGCTGGTACTGGAGGTCGAGGTGAGAGATGCCGAAAAAATCAGCCGTGCAACGCGCTCGCGATAAGGCGGACGCGGCGGAGGGAAAGAGGCTCAAGGAGCAGCAACGCCGCCTTGAGCTAGATGCTGAGCTAGAGCAGCTCAAGCAACGCCTCGCCGCCAAACACCCGACAACCCCGCTAGCACGTGGGACACCCTCGGAACGCGTGCCGGCTTCACGCCCCTCGGGTGATAGCAGCCTTCTTGAGGAAAAGTCGGATGACCCTGAGGGTGCCGACCGCGCGAGTGCCACCAGCGGCGGTTTAGATGGCGGTGATTCCGGTGAGCGCGACACGTTTGTCGACGGCGAGAGTGGAGACGAGTATGAGGATGTTCCTCCTGCCGCCGGCCGGGAGCAGCAGGGGCGTTGGGCCGATGAGGAGGAACCCGAAGATGAGGAACCCGAGGTTCTTACATCTCCGGCTGTCGCACCCATTGTGGAGATGCTGAAACAGCACCACCGTGATGGGACCGAACCTCCCGAATGGCTCATGTCCGTTGTACTGCCCGCCAACTCGCGAAAGGTGAATACTGTAGGTGGTAGCATGCCTGCTGTCCGACACGAACCCAACGTTGGTAGCGAGGGTAGTGCCCGCCCGAACCTTCGGCGTGACAACAGCATACCATCTAATCAATGAAACGCACGCATAGTCAAGGTGCTAATCGTACCCATACCTACCACAAAATGAGTCGAAATTTCAGATTCTTACTTGTAAACCTCGTGAGAGAATTCGATTTCAATCATTTCATGATTTTCTTCACTGCCCCAGATTACCGATATTCTGGACTTTCCTTCTTTCAAGCTCCTCGTCAATCTTACATCTTTGGAAAATTCTTTCGCTACAGGAGCATGTCACAAACATATACGTGTGCCGTAAGGACGGGAGCGAACGCACGAAGAAGAAGCGGAACGAGGGCCCGTTTTCTCTTTCGGTGAAATTTGGGTTCCGTTTGTCATGGGTCTCACAGCCAAAACTAGCTCTCAGGATAAAGTGTCATCGGTACATCAACGACCCCTGGCAGATAGATCGCTGCAGGAGGCCATGCAGGCTTCCGTCCTGATTGCTCGGCCTTGACATGACACTACTTATCACCCTATTTCCTCATAGCTGCGCTATTACCATTCTATCGGAAACAAGGTCTAACCCGGCACAGGATCAACGAAGATGAAAATACACACACGAATTGCGAGAGGCCTACAGGCTAGTCCACATGCTCGTTCTCCGAAGTGTTGCGAACATACCTGCGCGAAGAATGTCTGTTCGTGTTGCTGCTGTGCTGCTCCCAAGCCGAAAGAATGGAGTGGTGATGGGCGTAATGGCTGCGTACATGTTGGTGCGGCGAAACAGTTCGCGTTTAATCCAAAAATCTGTCTATCGTAATAGTTCTTTTTTTGTGAAAAGTGTGGCCCGTTAGGAGTACGCTTTTTGTTTTGTTTTGCAAAAAAAAAGCCTTTTGTTACGCTGCCTCTTCTTGGGCTGTCCCTTTTCTCGAAAAGTCACGAAGTTGCCCAAAAAGGGACAGGATGGGGTGATCTTTTTTCGCTGTCCCTTTTCGGGAGGTTCAAAAACGCAAAAAAGACCACGTAACAAGTGGTTTTTGGTCAGTTGTCCCTTTTTGAGAAAAGGGACAGCCCAAAAAGAGACAGCGTAACAAGTGGCCTTAGCGGGATCGTGTGTGGAGTATGCGCACGAGAAAAAGAATAATTTTCAAGCACAGGGGCGTGAAAATTTAGCCATGGCTGTCTGTCTGGTGTCTGCGCGCCCTAAATACCCAGCAGACTCGAGCCCATTTCACCATCTCGGCACCAAATTGCAAACTACTAGACCCCAAATGGGGGGAGTTTTTCCGCGCGCACCATCACAACAGCATAACCCGTGCTGCGGAAAGTACCTGCAGTAGGCTGGGTCGTGCGCCCCCCGTGAATATGTGTTGCTTTTGTTTTGGTACACACACCCGAAATGTTGTTGATGCGATGCTGTTGATGCGAATCGTTGTTGTCAGCACTCCGTATGCGTTAATAAATGAAGAAGTAGAAAAAATGCCCCACCACTCAGAACACAGTAGCAGCAGAATATTTGAACTAGCACGCGAGTTGTCGCCGATCGCGAGCCCCTCCTCACTACGCCCTGTCGTGGTCTGCAAACCACACGCGAACACCCTCTGTGACAGTAGTCTTCACGAGCCAAAAAAATTGGCACTACAAACGTATGGGCTACAATATGGAAATGTATTAGCAGTCTAGCCAATCACCGACGCCCCTGAAGACCGACGGCACACGGAACTGTATCTGTGTCCGCATGCTCTACGCTCGAACACACCGACACACAGGAGCACCGGATTGCTCTACGCCGCCGATGCATAAAAACCACCGTAGCGCCGAACTAGCGTCTAGCACTTCCAATGTAGCGCAGCAGCCAGGATCCAGTGAAGCATCAGCAACTCCTCTGTCTGCTCCAAGAACGATCAACACCGCGCGGTGTGGGACTCGTGCAAGGAGGGACGGTCAACCACCGTAGCGCCGAACTTGTGTCTAGCTCTGCCAGTTTACAGCAGCGAGGACCCAGTGAAGCATCAGCACCTCCTCTGCCTGCTTCAAGAACAACAGCGAGCGGTGTGGGACTCGTGCAAGGAGGGATGGTCCACCACCGTAGCGCCGAATTTGTGTCTGGCACTCTGGCCAATGTAGGACAGCAGGCAGGATCCAGAGAAGCATCAGCAACTCCTCTGCTCGCTCCAAGAACAACAGCGAGCGGTGTGGGACTCGTGCAAGGAGGAACGGTCAACCACCGTAGCACTGAACTATCTAGCACTGACAGTTTAGTACAGCAGCCAGGATCTAGTGAAGCATCAGCACCTCCTCTACCTGCTCCAAGAACTACAGCGAGCGGTGTGGGACTCATGGAGCAGGACACGCTATCTGCTCGATCTTGCGCAGCTTGGGGTCCAGGTTCTGTGGGGGGTGGTATCCAAGAAAGTGGGTCTGCTCTGAGCGCTCTGAGCGGTGGTAGAGGCAGTGGTGTCGGCGTCAGCGTCGGCGGTCACGTTCTTGGGTGGGGCGGTAGCCAAGCAGGGGGGGCTGGTCCCGCTGCTGCAGTGAGCGGTCGCGCGAAGGGTGGTGTCGGCGGCCGAGTCCCTGTGCGGAGCGGTGTGCAACCCTCACCAGGAACGGGAGTTGGTGCCCTTAACGCCAACGGCGGCAGAGGAGGTGGCAGACCTGCGCGCACTCTGAGCGGTGGTAGAGGTAGTGGTGCCGGTGTCGGCGGTCATCGTTCTGGGCGGGGCGATAGCCAAACTCTGAGCGGTGGTAGAGGTGGTGGTGCCGGCGTCGGCGGCCAACGTCCTGGGCGGGGCGGTAGCCAAGCAAGGGGGGCTGGTCCCGCTGCACCAGCGAATGGCCGCGGGAGAGGCGGTGTGCAACCCTCACCAGGAACGGGAGTTGGTGCCCTTAATGCCAGCGGTGGCACAGGAGTCGGCAGACCTGCGCGGACAAGGACCACACTAAACCGTCGGTGCTCCGCGTGTGGTGCATTGCCTTCATACGGAAACCAGAAAAAGAGACTCTGCCTGGAGGATAGGTGCCCGCGATGGGCGTGTAGGGCGCGCTGCTACCACGGGTTCAACAAGGATCTCCAACAGAAGTGCTGCGAGTGCCACAAAAGCATTAAGACGTGGTGCGAGTGCAAAAGGTGAGCCTGTTCCTTTTTTTTGTCATATATCGTCGCCCTCTTTCGAGCAGGTCGGTCTTCCCTTCTTGCGTCATGTTTTCGCCGCGACGTAGAGATGAAGATTGAGGTTGTGGGTTCGTCCCCCAAAACCCTCGCAAACCCGGGCACGGGACACGTTACCTATGTAGGCCTCTCGCTCGCAACGTGTGTCTCGAAAGTAAATCCGACCTCCCAATTGCCTACAATTGTCACCGTTGCGACGTTCCATCTAACCAGCTGCTCAAGGAAAACACGGGCGGTGCCACCAGCCAACCGGGTATCAAGGGGTGCGGGTTTGGTCGCCGGATCAGGGGGCGGTAGAGGACGAGGAGCTCCGCGGCATGTACCCGTGAGCGTAATTCGCTTGCCTGCAGCAGATAGTGCTGTAAACACCACGCTGTCGGTATGCATCGCTGCGAACCAAAACCGGGTAGTGACGACTGTGCTACAGAATCCTGCGCCAACAGCGACTAACCCGAAGCCTTCACCGCGGAGCAGCTGCTCTAGGTTGGAGTGCCACACGTGAGCAAACCATGAGATACAGGGTGTACCCGGTTAGACATGTCAAACAGGGTGTGCCCAGTGTCCGCTTGCTGTTATTTGTTGTTGGTGGGGTCGTGCGAAAGGGTGCACGAAGCATCAGGTCGAAGCTCCTTGAAGTATTGGCCGGCCCGATTATGGCTGTTTTCAGATGGGTTTCCTTTTGTCCAAGGTGTTGCTGAATTGTCGTCGTTACTGAATTGTCGTCGCATGTTTACTCGTCTTGTTCGTCTCTCAGGATGCTTCTTCATCAGCGATCGGTTAGCCAAACAGCGGGGGCCAACGCTGGCGTTCAGAGTGCTACGGGGGCCATTTGCGAGCACGCCGCTGCGTCGTTGGAGGCGCTTGACAAGAACACGGTGGTGGACGCGACGCCTATCTTTTTCAACGGCATCAACGGATGTCCGTACGCGGGTTTGACCGCCTGTATCTCGCAAGCCCGAGCTAAAGCGTTCTTGTCGGAAGTCGAAGAAACGTTGTTGTTGGGGATGGTGGCGGAGGCAAAAGACATCGGCGTGTACCCAGTCGTCCAACTAGGCGAGTGGGGATACGCCGTGAGCGAGAGGCGGAGTAGAACTTGCGAACTGGACTGGGCCCATGTGAAGTATGACAAGGGTGACGGCAAGGGCAAGGGCAAGGGCAAGGGCGCGTCGAGGAGGATCACTGCTGCCCGGGGCTTGATGTGCAAGGTGAGGATATTTGCGTATACTGGGAAGCTTGCGACAGTTCTTGGAGCACGGAACGAATATGGAATACGTCGCTGTGTATTGCGCTGTGTGCGACTTAAATGCCATGCCGGCCGACTGGTGGTTTGTGCTATTATCGGCCTTGGATATCTCGCATATTGAATGCCTCGAAGATTGAGGCCGAAAAGTGAGGTTTTCAGGAGAATTGCGTGCTCGCACTTTGAGTGAGGCGTGGGTACTCTAGACTGGGTACTGTTACACCGTGTTCGTGGCTTCAGAGGAGTGCGTTCGCTAACGTGTATTGGCAGTCAAGTGGTAGACCATTCCAACGATATATCCTGCCGTCTTGGGTTTTCGAATGTGCCCAAAAATTGATTCACAATAATTGTGTTACCTTGGTCGACGGTGACGTACCGGATGGACATAGCCTCTTAAATTGTGCTCGCCCGAGGGTAAATACAGAGGTGGGTAAGGGTTATTTTTCCACGTGAATACGCCGGGGGTTGATCACCCCTGGAGAGAACAGGAAAACAGCCTCCCATTCACACACTCTGTGCTCCCGCAATCGAGAATACGCGAGCAAGCGTTCGACGGATGACGGGTACCGTCCAAAAAGTGTATGTCCTTTGGGTGCGTCAGCACTGACGCGTTGTGATGGTGATGTGCTCGTGAAAGATCGTCCGAAGAAAAACGGGGGGAACTCACCGTAATGGCTGGAGCGTGTACTTACCCTGGGGGTAGATTTTCAGGCGGGGGGGGGGTACTCATAGTTGTGCATGCCGTACTCGTTAGACCATTGACCTCGCATCCCTGCAAAGCCGGGACGGAACACGCCGGGTTCTCACCGGACCAGGCTCTCACATCACCAAGCGCGAAACGCCGTGAGGTATTCGGCGAGTCGCATGAAGGGTGCGCTGCATCCTGCTAAGGGTGTTCGGCATCTTGTGCTTACTTCCTTGCATACGGATGACAGCTGCGTATGACTCAATTAGGTTTCTGGTGCTTTCACTTCCAGAGACAGCTGTAAGCATTGTGTGACTGTTTCGAAGATGCTAGACCATTTTAACACAACGTGGTGCGCTCATCCCTCATGCGCGGAGTGAGGTTTCTCCACCCCGCACAACATGATCTACTCGACCACCATTCTGGTTACCGCCAAAAAAAACTGAGGTAAAAAAAATCGGTAACTTGGTTGCCGAGTTCACGAAGTGGACTGGCTTGCTTTACAACGTCGTTGCGAAGCGACGAAAACCCAATCCCGATGGCAAACACCGAGG